CCAAGACGGCTCCAAGGAGGACTCTCGAGGGTGAACACGAACCGACAATTCGAGCCTTCCGCCCCAAGAAGGCTCAGGAGGCCCCAAGAGAGCCAAAAGAGGCCCCCAAGAGGCTCTCCAGACGGCGCCGAGATGCAAAAACCAGTGGTAGGCCTTTGCGTTTTCAGTGAGTTGTGGGTTCTCGCATTTTCGATCATCCGACTCTCCAAGACGCCCCAAGAAGCCCCCAAGACTCCCCCGAGACAGCTCAAGAGGCCCCCGAAGGAGCTGCAAGACGGCCATGGAGGGCTCCAAGGCGGCACAAGGGGCGCCCGCAGATGCCCCAAGAGGGCCCCTAGACGCCCCAAAGAGTGGGAACGCGAACCAATAATTCGAGCCTCCTGCCTTCTGCCCCGATGTGTGAAAACAAGACAGTCACAGCCAGAAATGTTCTAAGAACATTTCGTGCACAAAAAAAAAGGTTCTGAGAACATTGCTTGGTAGGCCTATAAGCGAGCCAGGACGCTTCGCCACTGCTTGACAGAATGCTGCGCTGGCACGGTGGCGGAATTGCTGGAGGCAGCTGGATAAAGTCACTCGGGCGCAACAGGCTGCTGATATTGAAAAACCCGTTGGCTATAAAAATGCGTGTGGCCCCCCCCCCCCCTTCTCTTCTTTGGCCCGAGATGAACCCAGGATGGCCCCAGACGGAGCAAGGGCGCGTCCAAGGGGAGCGATTGGACGGTCTTAGTAGGGGATCGAACACTGCACCGCCACGGCCTCACACGGAGCCAGGGCCCAGTCGCCCAAGGAGGCCGGAAGAGGGCCGAAGTGCCCTCACGACGGGGGCCGAACTTGTGCGCCAGGAGTGCCCGAGAGGAGCGCGGTCCCAGAAGCGCCCGGCAAGGGCAAAAAGCGTGAAGGGGCCCAGGGCCCAGGGACACACTAATATTTTCCCATATTTTCTGGGTCTTCGTCTTCCCCCCCACTTCCAATATTTGTCCCATATTTTCCTGGGAGTCGACGATTCAGTGTGTCTGTGTGTGTTTCTTTCCCTCCTGCAAGCGATCCCGCACGAGGTTTAGCAGGGGCCGCCGAGGAGAAGGCCCCAGCACGCAACAGGCAGACTGCGCTGCGTGGGTCGGCGGGGGAGGCCCCCTGGCGGCGCCCCTGGCGCCACCCAGCGCAGATTGGAGGCTGGGCGAAAGGCTGGCAAATCCGTGGCTGCCAAGACCGTCTTCCCGGAAAGAAAAAACAGATTCCCGGAATCAAGCTCAGCGCACTACACAGTAAACGGGCTGCTTCCCGGAAGAAAAACAACAATTTCTCGGAGCTCCGTTTTAGTAGCCACGGGTTTGCCAGCCTTCGCCCAGCTTCTGAGCAGACCCAGGCGGGGCACATGAGCCTCCGAAGCTGTACAGTAGGAGCTCGACCACAAGATCCCTTCCACAAGAAACCCAATCCTGGGACCCCAGGACGTCCACTGATGTTTTGCACGGGGACGTCACGATTTCATGCGTAGAACCATCGAAACCCAGGAAACCCAGGGCTCCTTGGAGGCAAGCAGGGTGTTTCTTGGCATGGGTTTCCACTGTATGGTCAGACCGTGCTTGTTCCTCATGACACCACGGGAGGGTCTCAAGGGAGCCCGAGAACGTCTCCCAGAAGGCCCATGAGATGGCCCAAAAAGGACCCGACATGATGCACAGAGCCACGGCCCGTGACGCGAAGCACCACGCAGCATGACAGGTTGTGTTGCACCTGGTCGCCTTCAGGCGGCGCATCTCCCAGGCAATTTCCTGAACCGCATCTCTCTCTCTCTCTCTCTTTCTCTCTCTCTCTCTCTCTCTCCCCCTCTCTCTCTTCTCCTCCGCGTCCCTCTCCTCATTTACCTGCGAAGTCTGTTCCTTCTCATCCTCCTCATCAGGGACTCGGGGACCATCAGCATCACGCCACCACATATAAAACATACTGAGTGATGATAAGCAACGTCAACCTAAGCATCCTCACCAGTCTCGGCATCGCACTCGTCGTCCCAATCCTCATCGTCATCGTCAGCACCGTCGGCATCATCAGCATCATCAGCACATTACAATATTCAGCATCACCATCATCAGCACCACCATCAACATCAGCATGAACATCAGCATGAACATCAGCAGCATCGTCATCATCACGATCATCATCAGCATCAGCATCGTCATCATCAGCAGCATCATCAGCATCCTCAGCATCATCATCCACAAACGCAGCAGCATCACCATTACCATCGGCATCGTCATCCTTATAATCAGCATCATCCTCATCATCGTCATCATCATCAGCAACAGGATCAGCATCAGCATCATCATCATCAGCAGCATCAACATCAGCAGCAGCAATATCATCCGTATCTGCAGCATCAGCAACATCAGCATCATGACCCGCATCATCACCACCATCACCACCACTACCATCATCATCAGCAGCAGCAGCACCATCACACGCATCGTCACACCATCATAGGTAACATCTTCTATCCTTCTCGTGCACCACCTGCTCCTCATCATCGTCACCATCATCATAAGTACAATCCTAATCGGCAGTATCATCATCGACGTCCTCACCACCATCATCGCAATCAGAATCGTCAACACCACACGCATCATCGACAGCATGACATGCTCATGATCATGGTAATGATCACCAGTATGATAAACCTCATCATCCTCAAAGTAATAATCCAAAGGATTAGGATCACAATCGAAAACCTCTCCTACACCCTCATCGTCATCATCATCATCATCATCATCATCATCATCACCACCAACATCATTCATCAATATCAGCATCACCGTCAGAGTCAACATCATCATAAGGATGCTCAGCATCCTCCTAAGCATCATCATCATCAGCAGCAGCATCATCCTCAGCATCATCGGCATCATCGACGTCGTCATCCCCCCTACCCCTCACACCTCCACATCATCCTTCTCCTCCCTCCCTCCCTCCCTCCTCCTCCACCTCTTCCCCTTACGTCGTACACATCCACATGATCCTCCTCGTGTTAAGCAATTGAACTCAGGCACAGTCCTCTACATCAGAGGGGAAAGATACCTAGCACAAAGGATGAGTGAGAGCGTGTCGCCCCGGTTCGCACTCCAATGTCGCGCCCGAAGGCAGCTCTCGAACTGGACCTCTGCCCGCGAGGAGCGGAGACAACGACGTGCTGCTCAGCCGCAGTGTTACGAAGATGGCTGAGACACAGCTCCTTCACGAAACGAGATCGGGTCGACCCAAACACCGCAGATGTCCAGCACCAAACCACTCTCCCTGACGCCCCAGGGCCCATGCAGAGCACGTGGGAGGGGTGTGTTGTCGCAGCGATCGACATCCTCGTCATCCTCCTCTTCCTCCTCCTCCTCCTCCTCCTCCTCCTCCTCCTCCCCCTCCTCCTCCACCTCCACCTCCGCGCCTCATACTCATACTCATCCCCATCCTCATCCTCATCCTCATCCTGCGCTTCATCCTCTTCAGAGTCCTCCCTTCCTCCCATTCCTTCCCTCGTCATCATTTCTTCGTTCTCCGTCCCTCGATCTCCTTTCCTCCGCCGACTCCTCCTCCTCCTCCTCGCCCTCCTCCTCCTCCTCCACCTCTTCCTCCTCCTCGTCGTCGTCATCGCCATCATCATCGTCATCGTGATTGTCCTCGTCTCCACCTCCTCCTCCTCCTCCTCCTCCTCCTCCTCCTCCTCCTCCAACCTGCCTCCTCTGTCCTCCTCCCCTCATCCTTAGTATCCCTCCTCCTCCTCCTCCTCCTCCTCCTCATCATCATCATCAGCATCATCAGCATCATCATCATCATCATCATCATCATCATCATCATAATCAGCATCATCATCATATGATCATCTGATCATCGTCATCATCATCAGCAGCATCAGCATCATCATCATCGTCATCATCATCATCATCATCAGCATCATCATCATCATCAGCATCATCATCATCATCATCAGCATCATCATCATGATCCTCATCATCAACATCATCATCAACATCAGATCATCATCATCATCATCATCATCATCATCATCGTCATCATCATCATCATCATCAGCATCACCATCATCATCATCATCATCATCATCAGCAGCATCATCATCATCATCATACGTATCATCATCATCATAATCATGATCAGCATAAGTATCATCATCAACCTCATCATCATCATCAGCATCATCAGCATCAGCATCACCATCACCATCATCATCAGCATCATCATCAGTATCATCATGATCACCATCATCATCATCATCATCACCATCATCTGCATCAGCATCATCATCATCAGCATCGTCATCGTCGTCGTCATCATCATCATCATAATCATAATGATCAGCATCAGCATCAGTATCATCATCAGCATCATCAGCATCAGCAGCAGCATATCATCAGCATCAGCATCAGCATCAGCAGCATCAGCATCTGCATCTGCATCATCATCACCATCATCATCATCATCATCATCATCAGCAGCATCACCATCATCCATCATCAGCATCGTCATCATCATCGTCCTCATCCTCCTCCCCCTGCCCCTCCCCCTCCCCCTCCCCCTTCCCCTTTCCCCTCCTCCTCCTCTTCCTCCTCCCCCTCCTTCTCCTCCTCCTCCTTCGCCTCCTCCTCCTCCTCCTCCCCCTCCTCCTCCTCCTCCTCCTGCTGCTCCTCCTCCTCCTCCTCATCCTCCTCCTCCTCATCATCCCCCTCCCCTCCCCCTCCTCCTCCTCCTCTTCCTCCTCCTCCTCCTCCTCCTCCTCCTCCGCCTCCTCATCCTCCTCCCCCTCCTCCTCCGCCTACTCCTGCTCCTCCTCCTCCTCCCCGCTCCTCCGCCTCCTCCCCCCCCCCCCCCCTCCTCCTACCCCTCCTCCTCCTCCTCCTCCTCCTCCTCCTCCTCCTCCTCCTCCTCCTCTTCCTCCTCATAATCCCCCTCAGCCGTCTCCCCTCTTCACCCAGCTTTTTGTTTAGCTCCACAACCACCATGAGCGGACATGAAGTTGCGGTAATCGTCTGGCAGGGGGTACCTCGCGGGTCGCTCGCAATAGCCGATCTGGTCGGACGGAGGGAGAGAGAATGGAGGCTGGGGGGACGGAGCAGGAAGGGGGGAAGGAGTGGCACACAGGGTGTGAGGGACAGGGAGGGTAGGAGGGAGAGAGAGATTCAACGAACGCGGCAACCAAATAATGACGCGCAACCGGCCTTCGCTCACATCGGGACACCGGGCTGCCCCCTGCAGCCGCTGGGCCCACAGAAAGCTAGCTCCGCTCAAGCGCGCGGCCACCTTTCGACTCCAGTCGGGGAGCGGCCGCCGCCGAAGGTCTGGGCCACCTCCGAGACCCTGGCGTGCACACCCCTCCTCCTCGCTGTGCTGCTAAACCTGCTCGTCGTGCCTGCTCGGCCGCCCCCCTTCTTCCCCTTCCTCCCCCTGCTTTTACCGCGACACCTCTGCCATGCCTTCCACCTACTCCACAGCCTCCCACTTCTTCTCGCCCTCCTTCTCCTCCTCCGAGCGTGCCACACAGTGGCGTGGGGCGGACAAGGACCCCACCGCGCGAGGGGGGGAGGCGGAGAAGGGAGTAAGAAGGGGTCGAGGGGAGTAAGAAGGGAGAAAGGGGTCGAGGGAAGGAAGAAGGGAGAAAGGGGTCGAGGGGTCGAGGGGAGGAAGGGGTCGAGTGTCGAGTAAGAAGGGGTCGAGGGGTCGAGGGGAGGAAGAAGGGGTCGAAGAGGAGAAAGGAGGAAGAAAAAAGAAGTGGAGTGAAGAGGCAAGGGGGGGAGTGGTTTGTTGGTGGAGGGGCAGGGTGGAACGTGGGGCAGGGCCCCGAGGGGGGGAGGGGGACAGGGGAGGAGGGGGGGAAATCAGGGAGAGGGGGGGAGGGGACAGGGGAGACGGGGGGGACGGGAGGGACAGGGGAGAGGGGAGGGGGACAGGGGAGAGGGGAGGGGGGCAGGGGGACAGGGGAGAGGGGACGTGTCGACAGGGGAGGGCAAGCTAAGTGCGCTCGCGTCATATACGGTGTCCTACCCCTCCCTCCAATCCCGTACCATCACGTTGATTGTCTCTATCCGCGGACGCGCGTCGAAACGGATCTGGAACCCCCAGAAAGAACGCAAGGGAACTGCGTGCATAACAGGAGGGAGATGACAAGGAGGAGGGGGAGGAGGAGAAAGAGGAGATAGCGGATGAGCTGGAGGAGGAGGACGGACGGACAGCACCGGCATGAACTGGAGTAAAAGACGCGGGACGAGCAGGAGGACAACGGGAAGGCGGAGGAAGGGAAATGAGGGCGCGACAGTGATGATGATATCGGACTTCGACCCAGCAGAAGGGTCCCACGCTCAGGCAAGAGCGCTGCAGCGGGAGCACCGTTCTGAGACTGCGAAAACAATCAGACGGTAAATGACGGTAGGAAAAACCTATGTAGGCGGAGAGGGCGGGACATCTTCTGGACAGAGTCAGGGTAGAGGAGGTAGTAGTCATGATGTGCCATTGTCTGATGGAACAAATGGATGTCAGCCCGACGGTACAACAGGGGAATGGCGAGTCCTCCCTGACGCGTGCAATGCGCTGTCAGAGAGGAAACACAGCAAGCTGTAACGCCGCCAGCGGATGAAAAATGAACCAACGACAACGTACCTGGGTTCTTTCTGGGGAGGTAGCGCCGTTGCGTTCAAAACTGATGATTATGGCTGGGTCCATTATGGTGTGTCCATTGTTGCGTCATGGTGGGTCCATTATGGCCTCATGCTTGCTCCGCTATTACTCCAGCATTGCCCTATTATTGCTCCATGATTGCTCAAATACTGCACCATTCCTGCTCCATGATCGCACCGATCTGATACCGGTCATGCTCCATTATTGCTCCATGTATGCTCCGCCCTGGCCCCGTGTCCGTTCCTTGCTGGGGCACCGTTACTCCATTGACTCAATTGCCAGAGCGGCTTCATCGTTTAAGCGTGTTTCTCCTTGGCGTCCGATCGCCTGCACCTCTGTGTCTGTCCTCAATTTTCAATTATACGGGCTGTTCCTTCTGAATCCTGTCCCTTGTAATTACCACTCCACGTGTTATCGCTCCACTGTCCTGAATGCCTGTCCTGGTGCACAACAACTCCAAAATGGCTCCGTTATTGCTTCGCGCGTGCTCCATTGGTGCACCCATTTTGCTCCATGCGTGTCCCAATAATGCTCCAGCGTTGCTCCGTTCTTGCTCTCGTGTTGCTCCATTGTCGCCCCACTATTGCGCCGTGGTTTCTCCATGTTTGCTCCATGATTGTCCCATCCTGACTCCAGTATTACTCAAGTGTTGTTCCATGCTTGCTCCAGTCTTACTTCATGGCTATACTCCAGTACTGCCCCATCATTGCTCAATGGCTGCTCCATTATTGTGTCATTATTACATGTGTCTGCCACCATTCTGACATCGTGGGGGATATACGTGGCCTTCTGTGTCAATCAGCATTACTTCGCTATGGTGTCCAACCCTGCTTCACCGTGGGTCTCCCTAGAATCCACAAGACCCCAGATGAAATAGAGAACTGTTGGAATGCCACGATTGTTTGGATTTTCAACTATCGGTGAATTTCTGGATGATATAGACGGTATGGTTGTTTTCGGTGGTGTTGCGCAAAAAGGCCCAGGGCCAATCGTGACAGTTGACCATACCTACTTCAAGTACGTGGTTCCCCCGAGAATCTGCACTGACCTATCTAATGGAAGTTGTCAATACTGTTTCTCGCGACAGGGCGCGACATTCATGCTCCACGGCTGTTCATATATTGCTCCAGTGTTGCCCACTCCTTGCTCTGTTACTATCATATCATTGCTCCAATATTGCTCGAGCATTGCTCCACCACCAACATCCTACATCACCTGCGGTGATGTGTGGTGGTTGTGCTGCGAAACCTGACTGCAAAAAACTCGCGGAACACGCCATGACGAAAGGCTGTACGTCTGTAGGGGGAGCCGGGTGGAGGCCGGAGGAGGCGAGCAGCAGAAGGAGAGGGATGGAGAGCAGAGCGCTCTATTCAAAACGAAAACCAACACAAGAGGCTTTGAGGAGAAAAGCGCCGTCGCCAGCATCCAGGTACAACATGTCGTGGCCCCGCACAAGAAAATTGGGCGCACTGAGTCCTCGAATGCCGATCCCGACCCCGCCCTTGGACAAACCTAGTTTGGATTTCGAAACAGCTCTGGGGCCTCTGAGACAACACTCAGACTGCAACGAAAAGCCTATCCAGCCCCGCTAGCGGTCTGGGTGAACAGGCTTGCCTTGCGTTAGGTCGGGCATGTCCCCCTACAGGCGGATGTTGAATGACCAAAAAAACAAAACATGCCCAAACATAATCAACGAATGAAGCAAAACATCGTCCCCATACGATGTTTGACTATGTTGTATAGTCCTCCTGTAGAGGGATCTGCCCGGCCTAAGCCTTGGGGACAGAGGGGTACTCACTGAGCTTATGAAATTCAGGCAAGTCGGGCTATGACCACAGAGGCGCAAAAGGCTTGCAGCGTGCGCGCAATCACAGGCTCGGATATCCCGACTCCGAGATCTCAGGCCGATGATGCTGCCTGCTCGGCCGATGGCCGGGGGCATCTCCCTGTTCCCACCTTATAGCCGTATCGTCTCCTTCACCCGTGTCAGGGATTACAGACCTCCATCCAAAACCCATCAAGCAGCCACTGTACGGCCTTTCGTATGATAGCCACTAACTTCTTTGCAAGGCTGAACTCTCGAATGACATGTGAACCGTCTGGAAAACCATTGCTTCCAGGAAGAGCCAACCGATTGGCCCGCCACAGACAGCCCACATAATTCCGCAGCCTTGGGAGTCTGGGAAAGGGGAAACCAAAGAAGGGCGATGCCCCTGCAAAGGACCTCCCGGCCCTCTCCGAACACCACATGAGAATACCCATTCCTGGGACTTTCTGGAACCTTACTTCGGAAACGCGAACGGAGACCTTTCCTGTGAAAGCACCCGTCATTGTGCACAGGCTGGCTGGGCCACTCTACTACTAGACCCTCTCGCTCTTCAGTTTATGTGCAGCCGCAGATGGGGGCGGAGGAACAGGGGAGGATGATGAGGAAGGCGCGGAAGCGGCCAGGAGGAGGAAGCAGGAAGGGTCCGCCCGCAGAGTTTGTATCCTATGCCCAAAAGCCCTGGGGGGTGGGCGAGGGTCCTGGTCGCAGGCTTGCCACACACAAGTCCCTCCCTGGGGCGTGGCTGCTGCACACTGAACGTGGACCCGCGGGGTGGAATCTGACTCGGGGTGGGGAGGGTGCTGTATGCAAAACCATCGAGGAGAGGACGAGGCCCGAGAGGGGGCGCGCGCCTGCTGGTGCCCAGGAAGAGCATGTGCTCGCAGAAGTGGGCGAGCCCGGGCAGCTCCGCCGGGTCGTCCAGCGAGCCCGCCTGCTCCGCGGCGGGCGGCTGCTCTCCCTCCCCCGCCTCCGCCCCATCCCCCCCCCCCCCTCTGCTCCTCCCGGTGTGCTGAGACACCGATGGCGATTCGGGGATGGAGAGACCTCCCTTTAGCAAACCGTGGTTGAGTGAAAACGACCTCGGGCCCAAACCTGGCGGGCGCAAGCCTGGAAAATAACGGCCGCGGCGCCCTCTCGAGCACCGAAAACGGACACTTCACTAATCGACGTGTCAGGGTGGGGTTTCTGTCCACCCCCGAGCGATGAGGTCTTCAGGCGCAGCCCCCCCCCCCAGAGCCAGTGAGTCCCTGGGATGTGTGATAACAAATGAGTGAGCCCAGACGGCTCCAGGGGCGGGCGCACCTGGAGTCACCGGCCGGTGGGACACGCTGCGAAAGAAGCACGCAAGCGACAGCAGAAAACAGAACAGGTCGAGGAGAAGAGGGAAGAAGGAGAGGGTCACGGCCTCGAAACGGGAGGGAGATGAGGGGATCGAAGTGGACTGCGGCGGTAGGCGATTGTAGGGCGGCTGCTGTGGGCACGGCTGACTTCGTCACGGCCCCGCTCTCGCAGGTGGGAGGCAAAAAAAACCTTTCCCCTGCCCATAGGAATGCCCAACAGGCGTCCGAGTCCCGCGACTGGTACCCTCACCTGAACAGCAGGCGTGGGGCCTGCTCCACCTCCTCCTCCTCCTCCTCCTCCTCCTCCAACTCATCCTCTTCCAACGCCTCCTCCTCCTCCTCCTCCTCCTTCTCATCATCATCATCATCAGCATCATCATCAGCATCATCAGCATCATCATCAGCATCAGCATCAGCATCAGCATCAGCATCAGCATCAACATCAGCATCATCATCATCATCATCATCATCATCAGCAGCAGCAGCAGCAGCAGCAGCAGCAGCATCAGCATCAGCATCAGCATCAGCATCCTCATCATCATCATCATCACCACCATTATCATCATCATCAGCATCATCATCATCAACAACAGCATCATCATGATCATGATCAGCATCCTCAGCATCATCATCATCATCAGCATCATCAGCATCATCACCCTCCTCCTCCACCGCCTCCTCCTTGTTCTCCGCCACATCCTCCCCCTCCGGATCTTGCTCCTACTTCTCCTCCTCCTCCCCCCCCTCCTCCTCCTCCTCCTCCTCCTCCTCCTCCTCCTCCTCCTCAGGCCCGTCTGCCTTCCAGAGTCCTCGGGCCCTGCACAGAATGGACATCGGCGCACTCCTCGCACGTTCTGGGGTGGCGGGCCGTGGGGTGAGGGGTGCTGCTCGGGAGAAGCTCATGGCGCGTGAGGTATGTGGAGATCGCGGCTCGTATCACCTCAAAGCCGAGGGCAAGACTTACCTGATGACCTGGGGTCTAAGATCGAGGATAATCGAAGACGGCCGAAGATCAATCAGAACCGAGGGTCGAGTTTCGAGCATCCACGTTCGAGCATCAAGCTTCGAGAATCAAGATTCGAGGATGGAAACTCCAGGGTCAGTTCGAAGGGAGAGTGGTATCGAGGATCGAGTCGATCGGCGACGGTGGAGGTTACTGAACGTCTTTAGACCCCCTGAAAAACTTCTCGTCGCCATGGCAGGAGTTCTGATCAAGACGCATCCATGGGCCGATCTTGAAGGAGGGAGGCATGGTCCAGAAGGCGCCAGGCCGACGTTCGCCGCAGAGCGAGAAACGCGAGTGGACGCGTCGGCCCGACACACGCAGCCGTATCGGAGGAAGGGGGGGCGGGGGGGAAGGGGGGCGAGAAGGAGAAGGGCGGGCACGGGAGGGCAGCGGTCCGGGGAGATCTGGACCCCTCGAGCCTTGAAAGAACACAGGAGGGAAGGGAAACGGGGATGGAAAGCGGACCACGGGAAAGCATGGAGACCGTCGGGAGCCTGCGTGCTGTACGGATCACGACGTTGGGAGTCGAAGCGGGAGAGGAGGGGGAGGATGGAGGGGATGGGGGAGATGAGAAGGAGGGGATAGGGGGTAAAGGGGGGGTGGAGAGCAGGGGCCCAGGGAGAAGGAGGAGGGGGTCGGGGCGGGGGGGCGGGAGGAGGGGAGGGGGGTGGCGGAGGGGCAGATCTGCCGGTGTCCCTGCGTGCGCAGCTGGGGCTGTCGGCTCACCGGGCGCGTCCTCTCTCCTCCACCTCCCCCCGCGGCTCTCTCCCCGTGCAGGCAGAACTGACTGCACAGGACGCGCGACAGGACGCAAGACTCTTCCGACGGCAACGTGGCCCAGGACACGAGACTCCTCCGACTCGGCGCGATGCACAGGACACAAAGAGTACCTTTGACTTGGCAGGGTCGGCTCCCCCGCTCTGGTCGCCCCCGCCCTCTTTCCCCCGACCTCCACTCTCCCCCCTCCCGGCCCTCCCCAGTCCGCCGACGCCTTCCTGCCCCCGAACCCGCGCGGGTGCACCTCACGGGTCGGAAACGAGCAGATCGGATCGAGAAGCAGCAAGAGAGGGAAAGAGAGAGAGAGAGAGAGAAAGAGAGCGGAAAGGAAGCCCGGCGGGCAGGCGGGGCGTCGACAGGCTGGCGGGGGCGGGAGAAGTCGCCTGGACAGCCATGGCGAACGCAGCCCTGTTGCTGCGCTTGTCCTGGATGTTCAGCACCTGGTCAGCACACCCCCATCCCTTTTCCGCCGTTCATCCTGCTGGCGCCGTTCCATCGTCCAATGTGCAGCTAGCGTCGGCACTCTATTAAGGAACCGTTTCTCGTTGACTGTTTGGCAGCCCGGTGCCACGACAAACTCGTCCGAAACCATCCTTCGACTTCCAGAAGCACAGCAACGTGTCTGAAAATAACCTGCCGCTTTCCGCCTCCTCCTCCTGCTCGCCTTCCTTTCCTCCCTCCTTCCTTCCTTCGTTCCTTTCTCCTCGGCATCCGCCTCCTTCACCACCTCAGCACCACCATCCTCAATCACCTGTGCTCCCTCATCCCCCGGCCCTCCTCATTTCTTTGTGTCCTCCTCCCTCCCACCTCCATCCTCTGCCCTCCTCCGTCCCTTCAGGGTGAAGTGCGCTTCTCGTAGCTGCCCACGGGGGGGTGCTGCGCTGCGCGCCGCGTGGCGTAAAGCCAGCGTCGGGAGCAGTATCCTACTCCGCCTCCTCCTCATCATCGTCTTGCCCCCCCCCCTTGAGGAGGAGAAGGAGCTGGAGGAGGAGGAGGAGGAGGAGGAGGAGGAGGAGGAGGAGCTACTGGCATCCCGAGAGGCCAGAATCATTGGTGTGCCTTCGTTCAGCGAGGCCCCCGGCCGTCAGGCTGGGACGGCAGCGCCCCCAGGCCCCATCCCTAGCTGAGAGGTGTTGACTTGTTGCTGTAGCCGTGTCGTCGAACTTGTTTCCATGGGGAAACCATGAACGCAGCACAATCGGGGCGTTGACCTAAGGAACCCCAAATAAGGAAAGAGGCCCCGTTTAACCATAAGTTGTAAGCTTCGGCTTTCCAAAAAAACACCTAAGGAAAACCTTAGGCAACCTGTGAAACGATTAAGGATAACCGAGCCCCTCCCAAACGAAAAGGGTTCCTTCTTCAGCGCCCCGACTGTGTTGCGTATCATAGTGCGTGAGCATGCACCCTGGTTTCGCCGACTCTGGGCATACCCAATCTGCATGCGCACAGACCAGCGTTCCAAGGCACAGCAATGCTCAAACCAAAACTGTGTGGGTATCGGCAGCCTGAAAATGGCCCCAAGGTCGCCAAAAAAGGATCCAAAAGAAAAGGAGATGGCGCCCGCTTTTAATGTGTTTCCCCACCCGCTAGGAATACGAAACTATGAGACTCGGATTCCGCACCATTGTGGCTCGAACTGGCGCTTTCTCGGCGCAGCGGCCGAGGACCCTGATCTCGGCTTGAAGAACTGAGTGGCAAGAGACCTGGAAGGCGACGAGATGCCCCTCAACGGCAGCATGCACGGAGAGCGGGGGAAACTGGGAGGTGGCCGGGGTCGATGCCATCTCGACTACTCGGAGGAACAATTCTGTCGGATTCAGCGCCTCAAGAGAAATACGTGACTAACCGCGCCGCCGCGCCCACGGTACGGGAGGCGTTCAGCAGCGGCGAAGGTAGCGGCAAGTTCGGAAATCTTCCGCACGAGAAGGGAGGACTTGATAGATAACGAGGGAGGGAGGGACAGAGAAATGAGAGATGCAGGAGAAGGGAGGGAGGGGGTATCGATCAGGGGGGAAGACGAGGAGGAGGAGGAAGAGGAGGAAAAGGAGGAAGAGGAGGGGGGGAGGAGAAGATTCGCCACGAGGAGGAGGAGGACGAGAAAGACCACTGTCAGAGGGGGCGAGAGAGGGAGAAAGAGAGAGAGAGAGAGAAGCCAGCCGTTCAACAGCCCCCTGCTGCCCTGCCATAACGACAGCAGAGGAGAGGCAGAGAGATCAGCCAGTCATCAGCCACTCACCAGACAGCAAGGCGGAGGCGAGACTCGTTAGACGGATCCCGATCCTCACTGGCGTGGCCTGGGCCCCACTGGTAGATGTGCCCCCCAGATTGGGAAAAAGGGTGATCCTTCGAGATCCCAGGGGCAGATCCACAACTTGGGTGGTAGGATGGTGGGGATCGGGATTTGGACGCCCGAAATGGGTACGGAAAAAACGGGTACAATGCCCAACAGCATATGTTGTCCCAAAACAACGCGGCCGCTGTTGGGCGGGCGGCCTTCTGTCTCAAATGGACACAGGCCGCGGCGGCGCGGACAGCGAGTCTTGTTCAAAATGAACAGGAACTGTTGTTGGGCAGTGTACCCATTCTTCTATACCCATCTCGTTCGTGCAGAGGGATGGGGATGGGGACGGGGAGAAGCGAGGCCGAAGGGCAGAAGCCCAGAACGGGCCGAAGGGGCCGCCCCCGGCGGCTCCCGCGGAAGCGGGCCTGCAGCCCGTTCTGGATGACGGTGTGCTGGTACGTGCGGGTGTCCGCCTCCACTGCAGAGCGCCGAGGGCACACCCAATAGTGAAGGGGCCCTGGGACACACACATACATACACAAACAACAGGATCCCCCATATCTTCACATATTTTCTGAGTTTCTGTCTCCCCCCCCACTTCCCACAGTTTCCCATATCTTCTGGGGGATGGACGATGAATTGTGTCTGTGTGTTTTCTTTCCCCTCTTGAGAAGGGGGGGGAGGTCGGCGCCGAGGGCCCCGTGGCGGCGGCCCTCCTCGGCTCCGCTCGGCTCACTGCAGCAGCGGGCGGGCGTCGGAGCCGCGCGCCCCAAAAAGCATCGGAGGACTCCAGGCCTCGTGGGCGCCTCGGCCCGTGCAGAGACAGAGTCGGGCCAGGCCCGGACGGGAGCCCGGGAGAAGCGTCCAGCGTCTCCTGCCAGAGGCCATCGACAGCTCCGGGGAGCTCGTCGGGCTGCTCCCCCCCCCGTGATCGGCGACGGCCCTCGTCCAGCTCCTCGTTCCTCCTCCCTCCCTCCCTCGCCCCCTCCCCCGTCTCCCCTTCCCATGCCGTCCCATGTCCCGCCCTCGCTCCTCGCCCCTCGCTCTCTCTCTCTCTCACGCGCTCGCCCTCCTCAAGCTTACCTGCTGCCCCCTGCATCATCCCTCACCCCCCTCACTCTCGACTTCTCCCCCTCTCCCTACTCCGACTCTCCCCCTGCTCATTTCCCTTTCTCGTCCTGGTCCCCCTTCCACCTCCGGTTCCTCATGACCCTCATTCCTTCTGCTCTTCCTCCTGCTCCTCCCCCCCCTCTGTCCTCTCTCCTCCTCAGCCGTTCCTTTTCCTTATGAATAACTCCTCCCTGTCGCACCCCGAGGCCAGTCAGAAAGGCGGGCTGGCGTTTCGCCTCCTCACATGTGCAAGAGCCCGCGGACTGAGGGCAAGTCATTTTCAAAATGTGGCTCTCGTCTTATCGCCGCGGACATCCGTTTAAACAAAAATGTGCAAGGGGTTCACGGCTAGAGGGCCTGTGGTCTTCAAATTGTGGCTCTCGCCTTGGCGTCGTGCACAGCCGTCTTAAAACATTGTCAGCTTGGCTGACGGAAAGCGGGTTGGTTTCAAAATGTGGCTCTCGATTTCGCGCCGCGCACACTCGTCACTAACAAGCTGCTACAGCTTTACAGATGGAGGGCGGGTCGTTTTCAAAATGTGGCTTGCGCCTTAGCACCGCGCGCTTTTCGTTTTAAAAGTTTATACAGCAGGTTCAAGGGATATCACTGCCAACGTCCCAGCATCGGTGTTTGCCACGATGTCGGACGGTTAGGGCGCGACAGTTACGTTGATTCGTGATGTTGAAGTCCAGGGAATGATTTGCTGGCACGATTCGGGATCGCCAAGACGCAACACCGACGGTGAGTCGCGGCGTTGACATCCCAGGAATGGTGTTCTCGCACAACTCAAAAGTTTCGAACGGCTGTTTTCCAACGGAGCACTCCCAGCAGTGGAAAAAATCCTTGTAGGGCCAAGTGAAGAGGGAGCTAACAGGGCTTGTTTGCAATAAGATTGATGATTTTGGGGCTTATACTGGTACTCCTCCTCCTTCTCCTCCTCCTCCTCCTCTCCTTCTCCTCTTCCTCATCCCTCTGAGCTCTCTTCTGCCCCTGTCGCGCCTCCTCCTCCTCCTCCTCCTCTTCCTCATCCCTCTGACGCGCCTCCTCCTCCCTCCTCCCTCCCCATTCCCCCCCTCGCCCATACTCCATATGACCCCCTCCTCACCTCCTCATCCCCTGCATACACATCCCCCGTCATCATTTCACCTCGTCCCCACTCTCAGCATCACCATGATGTTCATCATCACCACCACCACCATCACCGACAACAACATCAGCCTCATCACCCGTGTCCCCAACGTCGTGATCATTAGCGGCCTCATAAGCAGCATCATACCCAGCATAAACAACAATGACAACAACAACAACCACAACAACAACAAAAACCATACCAGCAGCAACGACAACTACAACTACAACAACCACACCAACACCAACAGCAGCAGCATCGCTAGCAGCATCAGCAGCATCACCAGCACCAGCAGAATCATCAACATTATCACCATCAGCACAATCCTCAGTGTCATCGTAATCATCCCCATGATGAACTTCATCATCCACACAATCATTATCAGCATCAGCAGCAGCGTCAGAATCATCATCCTCCTCCTCATCAGCATCATCATCGTCATCACCATCATCAGCATCAGCAGCAGCACCATCCTCAGCTTCATCATCAGCATCATCATCATCATCAGCATCATCGTCATGCGAATCACCACCGTCAGCATCAACATCATCATCAGCATCTTCACGATCATCACCATGATCAGATGTATCTTCGTCGTCGTCCTCGTCGCCATCATCAGCAGAAGCATCGTCACTACTGTCACCGACGTCGTCGTCACCACAACCATCAGCGTGTCCAGCATCACGATCGTCATCACCATCATCAGTTGCATCATCAGCAGCAGCATCATCGGCATCACTATCAGCAGCATCATCATTGTCAGCAACATCATCACAACCATCATGATTATCCTCACCATCCTCATCATACCCCTCCTCCCCCTCCGCCTCTTCCTCCTCCTCATCATCAACAGCATCAGCATCATTCTCGTCGTCATCATCATCAGCATCAACATCATCAGCATCGTTATCAGCAGCATCATCAACATCATCATCATCACCATCAGCATCATCATCAGCATCAGCATCATCAGCATCAGCATCATCAGCATAACCATCATCGTCATCGTCATTGTCTTCGCCATCGGCAGCGTCATCATCAGCAGCATCATCAACCTCGACCTCAACCTCACCCTCGCCCTCACCCTCGTCGTCATTTTCTCCATCAGCAACATCAACATCCTCATCCACATCGCCACCGTCGCCAATCGTCATCATTCGCAACCGCCAAGTACTCAAGAGTGGCTGAATAATGATATATACGGTGTGCATCCCCTTGGGGCGTGCGGCATGCTGCACAGGCGTTCGCCAGGCGGTCAGATGCGGCATGGATGGCGGGACAGTGGTGGATGGTCCACTCTCGGTGGCAAGCCCCAGGGAGGAATGAGATGTGGGGCAGGCCCCTCATCTTCCCGCCCCGGTCTCGCCGCCAACACCCATGAGGGGCAACGATAAGGGGAATTGGCACATGTGGAAAAACATCGACCTTGAATCGACGGTGCATCGCGCATAGATCCGCGACAGGCCCCCGATAGCGAATCCGAATTTCTGGGCGGGGTGGGGCTAGCAGACCCATATCGGCGATCAATGGGCGATTGGTGATCGATGCATCCCTCCCTATACCTATCTCTCCTACCTAGACGAAGATAAAAACGGCATGAACAGAAACCTTCGACGTGCCGCGCGGACTTCTGAGATCTGTGCTGGACATCCCTCCCTGGCGCGCGGAACGCGCCAGGGGCGGCGCCAGAGGCGCCGCCAAGGGGGCCCAGGCGCCGATCCGAGAAATCCGCGCGGAGCGCCAAAAGTTTGTGCTTATGGGGCGTTTCTTCTGCTTCTTCGACCATCGTTGGCCCTGAAGGCCCCAGACAGACGGTTCGCGTGGACGCCCGCCCACGTGGTGCACTTCTCCCCAGAAAGCGCTCGCTCCGGCGGCACGCTGGCGCACGAAGCGCTCTCGGGACCTCGATGCGCGGCCCGCACGACCACGCGCCACGAGGCAGGCGCCGGGGCGGGCGAGAGGATCCGAGGACTCGAGGACTCGAGGACTCGAGGATCCGAGGATAAGGTGATGGACAAATTTTCTACCACCACTACCAAAGGTAGGACGGGGAAGAAGGGAGGATGAGGGTGTCCTCCTTCCTCCTGCTCCTCCTCCTCCTCCTCCTCCTCCTCCTCCTCCTCCCTCTCCTACATATGGTAGTGGTTGTGGAAAATTGGCCCATCATCGAGGATCGACGATCAGAGGATCGAGGATGGAGGTCGAGGGCTGCGCCGAATCCACAGCTGCCCTGCAGCGGGGCCGCCAGGGGAGGGCCAAACACGCCCCCAGAGCGGCCACGCCACTCCGCCCGGCGGCCCGCAAGGGCCGCGGCTCGCGGACGCGGCGTGGCGCCCCAGGGCGGGGCCCACGGGCGAAGGGGGACGAGCGGGACCAGGGCCACAGATCCAACGGTGGACGGCCGGGGACGCCGACGCACGCCGACTGGAGCACACGGCGCGCGCAGCACGGCGGGCAACCGACGCGCACTGGGCGGTGTTCGGCGCCTCCTGGAGGGAACAGACGTCGGCCGCCCCGCCTGCGGGACGCCGAGGGGCCTGCCGGCCGTGCGGGCCCTTCCCTTGCAGCGCCGAGAGCGGCCGCGGCGCCGCTCTGCAGGCGGAGGCCGTGGAAGGCCTGGCGAGGCAAGACGCGCCTCATCCCCTCCGCTTGTTCGGGCCCCAAAACCGTGTGGTGACGGGCCGCGTGGTGACCTCGGAATCACGGTGTTGGGACCTCGGAGGTCCCAGACGCCCGAGACGTCCTCGGAGGACGGCCCGAGTCCCAAAACCATGCTGTGACCCCGAATGCCCACTGACTCACCACGAGGTGTGGTCATCACACCGTTTGGGGGCCCTCGAGTTTGTGGAGCCCTCAAGGAAGGGCCCATGGGGCCCGTGGCTGCGCCGCGTTCCGAGCTGACGCCCAGCGAGGACATCATCCCGCCTGGTCCCGACTCCACCCTCCTGCGCCCCTTGGTCCTCATCCGCCTTCTCCTCCTCGTCATCGCGGCCCACCTTTTCAAACCCGCCTTCACCACCACCACCACCACCACCACCACCACCACCACCACCACCACCACCACCACCACCACCACCACCACCACCTCCTTATCCTTCTCCTCCCCCTCCTCCTCCTCCTCCTCGTCCTCCTCCTCCTCGTCCTCCTCCTCCTCCTCTTCCTCGTCCTCCTCGTCCTCATCCTCATCCTCAACATGGCCAACAACACCCGCACCACCATCATCAATCACCAATCATCATCAACCGCCCTCCTCATCATCATCGGCATCATCAGCATCGTCATCATCAGCAGCATCATCATCGTCATCGTCATCATCATAACCAGAATCATAATCATCATCATCATCATCATCATCATAATCAGCAGCAGCATCATCAGCATCATCATCAACCCCATCATCATCATCATCATCATCATCATCAGCATCAGCATCATCATCATCATCATCATCACCACCACCATCATCAGCATCAATAGTATCAACATCTTAATCATCAGCATCATCATCAGCAGCATCGTCATCATCGTCATCACCTGCACCATTATCATTATCGCCGTCATCATCATCGTCATCATCGGATTCAGCACCATCACCATCATCATCCGAATCAGCATCAGCAGCAGCATGGTAAAATCATCACCATCATCATTATCATCATCAGCATCATCGCCGTCGTCATCACAACAAACACCAGCATCACCATCATCATCAGCACCACCACCATCACAAGCACCCGAACCATCATCAGCATCACCATCAGCATCAGCAACAGCCATTAATCATCAGCCACGGATCATCATCATCAGCATCATCATCAGAAGCAGTATCATCATCGTCCTCAGTATCATAATAATCGTAATCATCGTCAGCATGATCATTATCATCAGCAGCAAGAACAGCATCAGCATAATCAGCATCATGATGATGTTGATCATCATCAGCATAACGATGATCATCAGCATCATCATCATCACCAGCAGATTCATCAACATCACCATTGCCATCACGTTCAATAATGTCCTCCTCATCGTCATCATCACAACAATCATGACCGTCAGCATCATCACCACCATTCACCATAACCATCATCATCAACATCATCATCAGCAGCATCATAACCATCATCAACACCATCATCATTCGCAGTATCATCATCAGCACAACCACCATCAGCATCATCAGTATCATTGTCCTCCTCCTCAGCAGCATCATCGGATTCATCATCATCAGCAGCATCATCAGCATCATCCTCAGCATCATCATCATCATCATCATCATCATCATCATCATCAACATCATAATCATTATCATCCTCTCCCAACCCAGACTCACCCTCCTCCGTCTGCCCTCGCCTCGTGCCTTCGACGTGCGCCGACCAGGCGGGCGCTCTCTGTCAGGGCCCCCCTCCGCACCGCGAGTCCCTCAGTTACCTCTCCTGCATCAATGTTGGCCAGGCCGAGGGGTGGACGAGCTTGGTGGAGGCGGTTCAAGTGCTCTCGCAAGCTCGCCTCTCATCCCTTCCAGGGCCACCGCAGCACGATCGCTTCCCAAGGCCGTGCCTCACGCTAAAAGGGAGCTGCGTCCGAAGCTTCCGAATGCCAGCTCAAGGGGGCCTCCTGCCCCCTCCTGATTGCACTCCTCTTCCTCCCCGGCCCCCTCCCCCTTCTCCTCCCCCCTCTCCTCCTCCACAGCATCCTTCTCATCCTTCCGTCCGCATCCTGGTCCCTGGTCCACTGCTGCCCCCACCCTTCCCCCTTCCTCTCCCCCTCTTCCTCCCAATCCCTCCTCCATCCCCGTCTCTCTTCCCTGCACCCTGCCCCTCCTCTCGTCCCCCCTGGCTGGTCATCTCCCGGGCCCCACCCGTCGGGGACAGAGGGCCACCTTCGCCGTGTCCGAAAGCTGCACAACGGCAGCGGCGAATCCGCGCCGGCCACGTCCAAAGATGTGGCCGAGCAGGAGGCAGAGCATGATGAACACCCCGACGATGACACCGGGGCGCGACGGGAGGTGGAAGCGGAGGAGGAGCAACAGCAGGAAGAGGAGGGGGAAGGGAGGGGGGGATGAGGAGCCAGCGCATGGAGTCAGTGGAATAGATGGACGGAGGGAGAGGACCACGAGAGGTGAAAACGCGCTAAGGTCAGGAGCAGGAGCAGAAGCGGGAAGACAAGAGGCAGGGAGAGGTACAGGGGCGAGGGCACAGAGCAGAGGGAGGAAGAAGGAAGGAACGAGGAGGAAGGAGAGAGGATGATAGCGGGGAAAAGAGGAAGGGGGTGAAAGAGCTACAGTCAAACCGTACAATAAGGACGCACGGTAAGGGTGCAAAGGCCTTGGAAGGCCATGCTGACACCTTGCGAGCCAAGCGCGGCCAGCGAAAGCGGCCAAGGATGGGCCGAAGAGCAGGGATGCAAGGGAAACCTTGGAAAACGGCTCATCCTCACTCTGTGCGGGCTGACTGTAGCATGGATTCAACGAGACCGCAAACAGGGGGTCGTCGAGATGGTTCGCCGCGTGTGGGGCCCCTGGTGCTCTCCAACGGGCCTCTGTCAGGAGAACTACTCAGGATGGAACGCTGGTCCAGGGGAAACCATTCAGTAGAAGACCATGCCAAGAAACTCCCTGGTTGCCGCCAAGGTGCCCAGGGATTCTTAGGTTCAATGATTTTACGATGGGGGACGTGACGCCTTCATACAAACACTGAACATCCTGGGGGGTCAGGGTTGGGTTTCTAGTGCAAGGTTTCTTGTGGTCGAGATCCTACTGTAGGGGTCCAGGAACCGTAGCGAGAAAAGACAGATGAGACAGCGCACGAGAGGGACGGCGGAGTGCAAGGGGGTGACGGCGGTGATGGACCCCGAGCCCCGCGGACGAGAGGGATGTAGAGGAGGAGGAGTTGCGGAACTGCAGACCTGCGACCCCGCCCTGGAGGTGGACGACGCGAAGCGGCCAGGACAAGAAGAGCCCAGAATCGAATCGATAAGTCGGATCGGCGATCGACATGCATCGGACAGGCAAAAGTCGGCACCCAATCGGGAAAAGTCGAATCGGCGGACATCGGCAGGCTGGTATGCATCCGGTGAGAAAAATCGGAACCCGAATTGGAATCCCAGGCCGAATAGGATCGGAACCGGAACCCATCGAAGTCGAATATCGAAGTCCAATCGTAGGAATCGAGACGAGCATTGGAGAGGGGCCAGGAGAATGAATGAGAGTAAAGGGACGAACAATGACATAAACATAACAACTCGGAGGTCCGCGCGGACATCTCGGATCCGCGCTGGACCCCCGCTCCCTGGCGCGCAGAGCGCGTCAGGAGGCGCCGCCAGGGGTGTCCAGCGCGGATCCGAGAAATCCGCGCGGAGCGCTCAAAGTTTTATGTTCATGCTGATGTTTATGTTCAGGTTTATGCCGTTGAGGTGGGGGGAGGGGCGCGGCGCCGAAGCCCATGCCGCACTGCAGGAACAGCCCCCTGCGCTTGTCCCTCGCCGCGCCCTTCTCGAGCGCGGCGCCGCCGCCTGCGGGGGTGGGCGAGGGGGGGGGGGGGGCGGCGCGGTCCGGGGCGGCGCGGCCCACTGGGGGGGGGGGGCGTGCCGAGGAGCGGCGCGGAGGAGGGCGTGCCGGAGGGGAACGAGCATCGCTTCTCGGGGGGAACGAAAGGGGGGGGGATAGCAGAGGGTAGGGTAGAGAATCAGCTCACGTAGCTGATTCTCCCAGCGCCTCCCCGTGCCAGGGCGCCCATGCATAGAGGAATGGGCCCGGCGGCGGGGCCGAAACCAGCTGCATGCAGCAGATGTCAAACCCCCCCCTTTCCCTATCCCCCCCTTTTCGTTCGGCCCGAGTTTCACCCGATGCCAGTATCCCCACTGGCGTGGCCTGGGCCCCACTGGCCAAGCTACCCCCCCCTCCAAGTGGGGATAGAGGCTTTTCCCCCTCTGGGCTCCGACGGGCCTGTCTCCAACCGGGGTGGTGGGAAGGTGGGGCCGGGATACCATGGCCTGGCCAAAAAAAATAGATAAAACGACACTAACACTACACTAAACAAACAGATAAACTACACTAAAAAAATGATAAAACGAACGAACGAACGCTCGCAGGACCGCCGCTGCAGACCAGCGTCCGTGCCCGACTCAGGCCAGGCGGGTGAGGGCGTGGCCTCTGGCGTCTGGCGCGTCTGGGCACGTGCAGTGCGAGACGGACAAGGCGTGCTGAGAAGAGGGGGAGGAGCAGAAGGAAGAGGAGGAGGAGAAGGAGGAGAAGGAAAATGACGAGGAGGAGGAAGAAAAAGAGGAGGGGTGAGGAGGGAGCGGATGGAGGCTCGCGTCGGATCTGACATGCTACCCCTACCACCCATCCCTTCCCATTGCGCTGGCCTTTTCTTGTCAGCCGACGGGTGTCATGGCGGACGTGGAGCCCCGAAAGGACCCCATCAGGAGGTGCGCAATCAGACGAAGGGGAGCAGTGGACATTGGTGGAGGGGGTGGCGAATGTGAGAAGAGAGGAGGGAGACGCAGCAGGGGGCGAGGGAGAGGAGGTGTGAGCGAGGAGGGGGAGGAAGCTCCTCCGAAGGGAACAAATACCAGAAGGATAGGAACAATGCCATAGCAAGCGATCACTGATTCGAGCAGTCTCAGCCGCTGCCACTGCCACAACCGCGGTCCCCCTTCTTACGGAGAAGCACGGGGAAGAACACTTAGTTGAGGCCAAGGTACCTTACAATTGCATTGGATGTGAAACAATAGCTGTATATAAAACTGTTGATGGAACTTGCTCTGGATTGCATCTGATCCCGCTGAGATGCAACTTGGGCACACATAAAACGACGGAGTAAGAAGATACCCGTAAAGTGTCCACAATCGAGCACATGCATAACTCCTGCTCCTTAGGTGAACGCGCGGGGATCACTGCGAGCACTTGCGTCGAAGCAATTGCGCCGTTTAATCTTCAAATTCCTTCCGATTGGGTCGACTGCCATCTGGCGATGCTCCCGCATACGCCGCTGCATGGCACCACAGCGTATCAGCTCGCAAAGGTGGTGACGTGTGGAATGCGTTCTACGAAATACTGCACGAATGCACGAACATGCGAAGACCATGCTGACGCTGTGCAACACCTGGGCTCGGAATGCACGCCAAAGCAGCAGCGCTACATACATAAGAACACGACGCGCCTGCATCGGAACCACTTCGCTGCCGCCCAGAATCCATGGGCAACAGTGTGTGCGTTGACCTACCTATGATATATGCACCTGGAAGCCAGCTGTTTACCAAAGCGTGGTGCACTTTCAAGCGGCCGAGGCAAAGGCGTGGTTGTCGAACTCGACATGCCAACGTCACCTTCCGAGTGAGGCGCGTGCCAAGCTACCCTGGTAAGAACCAACGACATTGCGAAGACGGGATCTGGCACAAAGCCTGACACCTTAGACTAATGATAGCACCTCGTCGTGCTGGTGATTCTGATCATGCTCTCCCTTCTGCTGCCCATCCTCCTACTTCGGTTCCTCCTGCTCTTGTTCCTGTTACGCCCCCCCCATCCTTTTCGACCTCCACCTCTTCCTCCTGGCGCCATCCCTCCTCCGCGTGTTCCCCTCCCTCAACCTCATCCTCGGCCTGCGGTTCCTCTTTCATCCTGCTACTGCAACATGCGCGTCCCGATGCCAAAAGACCCAGCGGGCACCTGTTCGATAAAGCGACGCTAGGAACTAGCGGCGCCGAGGAATACGGAGTCATGGGTGCCGTCTCTGGCTCCCTGCGGAGCCGAAACGGCTCGCAAAGATGCCAAGGAGCGTGGGAGAGGGGTAAGACGGGTAGATGGAATGAATGAGGCTGATATGGTGGATATGATGATGATAACAGTCCTGAGGATGCTCAAGATGATGAGGGGGACGACGACGACGCTGATGATGATGATGATGATGATGGCGATACTGATACTACTACTAATAAAAAAAATAATATCAATAATAATAATAATACTAATAATGATGATGATGATGCTGCTGATGATGATGATGATCGTGATGATGATCATGATCATGATGATGCTGATGCAGATGCTGATGCTGACGCTGATGTTGATGCTGATGATGGTGATGGTAATGGTAATGGTGATGATGATGATGATGCTGATGATGATGATTGTGATAGTGATGACAATGGTGATGATGCTGATGATGGTGCTGATGACGGCGATGATAATGATGATGACGGTGATGATGATGATGATGATAATGATAATGATGATGATGGTGATGATGATGATGATGATGATGATGGTTGTGGTGGTGGTGATGATCATGATGATGGATTATGATGCTGATGATGATGATGATCTACGACAAAGAACCCACTCGAAACGATCCGACGAACCTGCAAGAATCTCCCAAGGAGGGAGGCAGGACCGGGCGAGCGCAGCCGCGTCCGCCGCCGACGCCACCGCCGCCGCCCGCGACGTCGTCGTCGTCGTCGTCCGTCGTCGTCCGTCGTCGTCCGTCATCGTCGTCGTTGTCGTCGTCGTCGTTGTCGTCGTCGTCGTCCAGGAGCGCGCCGCGAGAGCGCGGGAGCGAGTGGACGGGGAGGCGAGCGGGCGAGGCCGCGAGCGGGAGGGGGCTCTCCCGCGGCGAGGCGACACCGCGAGCGGGGGCGGGGGGGCAGGGGGGGCAGGGCCGGGGGGGGGGCAGGGCGGCGGCAGCGGGAGAGGTGCCTGACGGCGCGCGCAAGGGGGAAAGGGGGAGGGGGGAAGGCAGTCGAAAGTGAGCCTGGTAACTCAAATGGGGCATATAGCCTGGCAAATTGCATCCATCGCTCTGCTGTGAAGGTACAGTATGAGGGGTGGATGGGTAAGATAGGATAAGATCGATGTAATGATCTTTCCAGCACATAGCGAACACTCGCGGTGTCCGGGCAAATAGGGCGCGCGTGCCTTGAGCCCA